AGTTGTTCATTTCTGAGGAAATACGAAGATCGCTGCATATAAAATAGCGACATCGGAGGTAACTGGAATTGGCAATGAAGACCAGTCCCGCTTTTATCTAATTGGTGCAATGATAACTGAATTGCCTTCTGCGAAACAAATTCAGAGTTAAATTCTCTTACGCATTAGTGGAAATAAGAAACTAATGAGCTATAACAAGTACGGCATTCCAGTCTAGTGCATTCCGAGTGTACGGCTGAAAGGATTATCTGGGGATTGTGTATGAAGTTGATTTCTGAAGCATGTTTAATCACGATCAAGCAGAAGGGTGATAGGTTAGCACTACAAGGTAGCTTAGCCGTCTAGTATATCTCAACGGGGCTTTGGCAATACGCCCACAATTGAGTCGGCGATGGTCAGTTTTGGGATACAATAAACTTTGAAATATAATTCACCCTGATTAAATGATTACATTTGGTTCGTAGTTTGCTGAAATCGAGAACTTTTTTGCGCACAGGTAACTAGTGTACCACCGTGCACCCAAAACACGGTTACGTCTGTGACCTAGACAATTCGCCTGATGCTTGCACACCCGACTCCGGCAACCGGCATATTCATATAGAAGCATCCTATAGCATGTATGATAGTGGGTCAATAGACGACTCTCCGTTTCGTGAAGTTCCAACCTCCCTGACGGAGCACCTCGTTTAACATCAGTGCATAGTCTCAACCTAACTACCAATGTGGACATAAAAGAAACGTTCTGTAGTGTAATTCTAAATTTAGTCAATCAAAAGACCAGGTGAAATACAATACTCTACTGGTTGTGAGGGCCTAGGACAACATCGGTGAACAATGCAACGTTCGCAAGCTGTAATCGATCTAATTTCATCTGTGTCCGGCTCTACCCCTGTTAGGAGAAGTTTAAACTTCCCCCGATAATTCTTGCGACTTGAATTTGAAAGGGATTGGGATCCGCCGCCACCGCGAGAGCGTGTCGGAGTTTTCTTGAGGGTCCTGGATAGGTAGTTGTCAGGGTAACGAACAGAAGACGGTAACCTAGTTTGTGCAATCTCTCCACCGGCTCCATCGTAACCCCGGACAAATGATAAGACTGTGATCAATCCCATAAATAACACACGTTTCTTCCATCTTCAATCCAAGTTCGATTTGCGCTACCAACAAAGAATCGCACTGTTTTCAATCGTCTTTTAACTGGGATCGTTAGAATGCGTACGCATCGTGATAGTTCAGCGAGACACAACAAACTCCCTAGAAAGTACCTTCTCAGTGGCTATTTCAGTTCCTGAAGATCGTCACACCAAACCGACCGCGTGTTTCCTGCGTCCTCACTGGGCCTCATTGGTCCCGAACTAATCAGCGTGCCACAGTGCCGCCATGTTAAATGACAGAGGCACCGCTCGCACACTGGTCCGTGCCCATCTCAAAATTCAGCTTTCGGCCAGACAGAAACTTCACCCCTAAGGAACATTTATTATTTCTACGTTAGCAATTTCTGACACTGCTCAAGCCTTATCCAACTCCATTACGCAAATACAATGGAAGTATTTAAAACGGAAATCTGACATGTATCGCATCTCGGTTGTTTTGAAGGTGTTTGAGAGGCTCCCGATTAAAACCCTATCAACACAATTCAATGTTGGTGGTTGAGACCAATTTGCATACACCGATTCCCGCGGTACCCTAGATACCTTTTCTTATATTTCCCACTTTGTTTTATCCATATTGATAAGAAAAGCAAGGCAGTTCTCATATGTTTTCTAGACTATAGTAATGACTTCAACACGACTGAAAGACAAGTATTGCTAAATACCCTCTCTTCGGGCGGAGTTCAACCTTTTACGATTGAATTCTTGGCCAACTATTTCTCCAACCGTCAGTAGTTCACCCGACACAAAGGTCATACATCACTGCTTCTCTCCTCACAAGGTGTACTGCAAGGAGCTATTTTATTCCATTTCTATTTTCCGCTTACATTTACTCTATGCCTGTGAGCAATTCTTCCCTTCCTGTTAATTATGCAGACGATACAGTGTTTGGACTGCCCTACTCTAACCCATCATCTCAGACCATCCGACAAGACTAAGTGATGGAAATAGTGGAGTGGTTTCAACGAAGGAACCTCTGTATTAATCCCCAAAAATGAAGTAACTTACTTTTCTCCTTTTTGGTAGGTCAAAAACATGAACTCTCAAATGCCAGACCCTCGTTTATCTAGCTTAAGTGATCCGATGGATCGATAAACGTCTGTCAAACACATTGGCGTTATTTTTATCCGTAACCTCACCTGTTCTGACCACATCAGTAACTTTTTTCTGAAGGTCAGGAGGCTTACATTTTATGTTTCACGCTTTAAATCACTTTCTATCTCAAATCATCTCATAAAGAACTTTGCTTTTACTTGCTTTATGTACCACTGGCTTTATACGTCCCCTGCTATCTTCCACGGTATTTTTGATAAGGACCACAGACTCATTTCCCGGTTCTTTAAGTTTCTGTCGATACGTGGCCACCGGAACATCTGATACAGTATGCCGTGGCACCCCACCTCAGGACCAGTAAAACATTCCCCAACAAGATTTTATCTAATTGTTCCCACCCACCCACCCCCACATCTTGCTCCTAGGCAACTCCTTTCTTATCCATTCACCTATCTAGTTCATTAAGGGACACACCAAGGTTAACAGGAACTCTATTGCCTCGCATCTCACAAGATTTCTCACAAACCATGAACTCGTTGCACGAAATCTTTGCAAAATGATAATCGAAACCACTGATAAATGACACATTATGTCATTGGTTTCGTAATGTTTTAAATTTTTGTATTATATTTCCTTTTTGTTGCTGTTGTTTGCTGAATATCCATCTACCGAGGTGCATAAGGCGATTCCTTGACTTGATTTGAATTGATCCCCGTTCACGGAATTCCGTCTCCATTCAAAATTAATGTTATTTGCGGTTAGTAATTGCACATGCAATCTGAATACATTTAAAGACAATCCATTACGAAGGTTGTGATGAATTCGTCATGCATGTAAAAAGCCTTTTAAAACCACGCTCCGCATTCGTCGTGGGTTCATGTCGTTCAATCGACGGATTGATCGAAAGCTGGCTGTGATACCGTAAATAAATATATGCAAACAAGCTGACTACTTCCAAGTAGCAAGGCACTAAACTGATATTTGTCATGAATAAAGTAACACCTTAGTCTGCCCCTTGAAGAGGTCAGCAATACAGGCCGAAAATCACCCTGTGATCAATCAGTGAATCATGGTAAAAAGATATCATTATAGAATAGTATAGAGGGAAAAAGATTAACGTAAGATTATTTAATTTTTATTTAAAAAAAAAATTTTTTATTACTTTTCATCCGGCTTTGAGAGGAATCACGCGATGCAGGGAATAATAGGCAGACGGTAGGCAGCACTTGGGCCGCATAATTATTCGTGGTAAATCCTTGTGATTGATTTGAATAAAGGGGTTTTAAAGGCGATATTTGGTAGTTTCAATAAAGGAATACGGTACGAAAAGATTTTCTGAGAAACACTATTATATTTAATTGAGGCTAATTAGTACCCGAATCTGATGTGTTCGATTCATGGGAATGTGTCACATTATGAACCCCGGATATTTACACCACATGATCTTTGCATATAAAGCTGAGAAGATTCGACTCTCCGACTTCCCCATCCACACAACTTGCAGTATAGTGGAGTATGTGAGAGACGCACGTGGATATTTGAGCGTGCGATGGTGTGACGAAAGAGGCTCTCCTCTTCCGCTAACTAGAAGGATTGAGTCAGTCAGATTGTAACATTTATTTTCATTTCTTGTTATAATGGTTTCCGTCCTGTTCACTGGTTCGAAATAGTCACACCCACTTCCCAGCGTTCATCCGCAATCATGAGTGTTAAGCGAACCATGGTTAGTTTCACTTCTCATTACCAATTAGATCCGTCTTTGAGCACACAGACATCCAAATAACAAAGAACTCAAGCATGCAACAAACTGGAATGAGCGGATCTCACGAGTTGATTTACTGGCTAAACGCACATGACGCACCACACGCTGTGCATCGTCGACCACCAATGCTTGTGTTTGTCTGTTAAGTATTATATATCAACCTAGGATGTTTTGCGGTGAACTTCGTTCGGAATATGGTCCTCCATTTGCTAGCATAACTGTGGCATTTGACGAGCAAGTGAGCACAAGAAAGCGCATGAACTGCTAACAAACTCACCCCGTTTTTCCCGCAATATCTCGGTAACTAAACCATTGTTGAAATGATACTACCGGGTATTAGCTAACAACAAACAGACTACGATTAAAACGGTGTTTAACTGATTTCTCAGAGAAAATGCTCCCTGAGAGTGCGAAATACTACCTACCAAATCATCAACAGTGCCTGGTGCCTGTGAAAAACAGAATGCGCTAATCCAAACATTCACCATCTAAATTGATTGAATCATTCGCACAAGGTGATAACCGTCGACCGTGTATCTCAAGGATAAGTGTTTAAAGTCCCATCCCCAACTAAACTTACTCCAGGTGTTCCGGTACTACTCACATTTGTGAGTTATTGTTTAAAACACGGTGTGGTTGACAATGTTTCAACCATGTAATCACCGTTAAGCGATATGGAATAGATCCGGAGGATGAATTTAGGAGCGACTGTAGAACGGTACCACATTCAGCTAGCCATCCTAAACAACTGGTATCCCAAAAATTGATGACAGACAGCTGTGCTGTCATCCGGTTCAATGCCACGCCTAACCTAGCGAAGCCTTTTAGGATTCATCACCCGAGGCTTAGGTTGCCGGTTTCCATTGCTGAACAGCAGGTCTTCGCCATCCCGGGGTCCTCCTCTCTTGCTGTGTCATCACACAGCTGTGTACAATCATAAAACGACCCGAACCCCTGATGAGGTTAAGGTTATGGTAGCTCAAATTGAAAGGCCTAGAAACAAGACCACTTATTTTTATTTTTATGTATAATAGTGATCATTCATGATCTGGCTCCGGGGCCGTGACTATCCGGTGCAAACACTGGGCAAAATTGAGCACATCAACAAATCGTGTGTACAACGGATTTGGGCTGACACGAATACAATTTGGTTTGCGCACATCACAGATAAATCCACGTCTGGTTAGCGCATGGAAATACCGATTCACATCGTGTTGAAATGCGATTGTGATTTGAGCACCACGTGCCTCGGCTTCGTTCGGGGTGACAATTAGACACTGGTCTGGGGGTAGCGCATAGGCTTGGCTGGAGCGAAGCAAATAGTCTAAGTAGCCGGTCAGACGAATCGATCGTTCACGGATCGGTTTCATTCCGCCGCATCGATGCACAATGTCCAAACTGGTCTGCAGAGCAATCATTGCCATAAATGGCGGATTTGAGACTCGATAGGCTGCCGCTCCAGGGGCCAGTTCCATTTCATTGGTCATATCAAATCGGGTCTCGGCTCGATGACTCCACCAACCGGTCAGTCGGGGTCCGTTCTGGACCGGTTCCAAAACTACCGGACTGGGTCCATGTGTCCCGGTCAAATGATGATGTTTCTCGTGCACAAACAGTCCCCCGACTGCACCGGGGCTAGCGTTCAAATATTTGTACGAACACCACACAGCCAAATCGACTTCCCAAGCGTGCAGTTGTAATTCCACATTACCGACCGCGTGTGCCAGATCCCAACCAACTGGACATTGGGCCAATTCATGACCGGCTCGTGTAATTGTAGGTATATCAAAAAGCTGTCCGGTAATATATTGCACACCAGGCAACCAAATCAGTGCCAAACGTGAGGCATTTTCACGTATCACACAGAGAATATCGTCAGTGCGCAGACACCATTCGCCAGCTCGGGGTTCGAGTTGAATGATACAACTGGCCGGATCCAATCCGTGCCAGGCAATTTGTGATTCAATCACATAATAGTCCGTGGGAAATGCTTTCTTTTCAATGAGGATACAATTCTTATCCCCAATTGGTCGATAAAATGTGGTCAGTAGCAAATGCATATTGATGGATAGATTATTGGTCAGAGCAACCTCCACTGGTTTCGCGCCGACAATTTCTCGAGCAACCTGTTCAGCAACGGGTAGGTCAGAACTGGATGCAGGCAATTGGCCATTCGCATAGGCCAACACGCCCAAACAGGCCCATTGATCCAAACCAGCTGTAAGGCGGGTCAAAAGACTAGTCGGTTGTAGACCCAATGAATGACCGCACAAGTATGTAATCGATGGACATACTCCGTCGGAATCGGTCCGTTCGAAACGTATGGTAGTGGTTTGTTCTATATAATGAGCATCCGGTTGACGGAACTGATCGCGAATGAATCCGAGTGAATCTTCCGAGTCCAACCACCGGGCGAACGCAGTCGACTCGGGCTGAGCGAAATCGTGTTCCAAGGCTAAATGTTCAAAATCGATTAGACTCATCACGGTGCACAAATGAGGTGGAATAGCGTCAGGAACTGATTGCAAACAGAACTATTTATGAAGGTGAAAAATGACCCGTTACAGGTAAGAAAGCAATCCACACGTCGGTGTATATAACTATACAACCGTCTGGCACATCATGCATGTGTGTGCGGTTCCCGTGTAATATTCCGACGCACGTTTAATGGTCGCGGGAGGGGTGCAGGGGTTCTGGACTGAAGGCTGTTAATCAGCTGATCATGTAACTGGACAAATGGTGCAAATCGATCCTGAATGCCACGTTAGACTGCACTCTACCGATACTGTTACAGTAATTAATAATATCCGGTCGGGGATGGCCAGTCCGGTTGTCGTTGTTGTTGTTGACGGTGGTGGTGGTCGTGCGTGATAGGCCACAATAAACACTTATTGTTCAATTCGGCGAATGCCATCAATTCGCACTCAGGCACACACACACACGCACACATCTAAACGAGCGGATTAATTCATTTCATATTACAAAACAAACCGTTCAGACCTCACATCAGAGATGAACGATCAAATGTTGTTCTTGATTGAGCTTCAGACGAGAATGAACAAACCCGATCGTCATTGACCTCGATTGACCGGGTAAGGAAGGGAATCATGTGAAGATGATGGATCGATAGATCGGTTTTCGTGCCCACGCGTGAATTTCCGAATGAATCATTGCATGAGTGGGTTCGGTCTAGGCCCTTCAGAACCTAGTGAGTAAATTGCATTGAGACAAAGGTTCTCTCGAAAAACACTGATTCCTTTGAACCGAATGCAATTGTCTACATCTGTCTGGCATTGAAAGGCACATTTTACAAACTACTTAACCATGGAATGTGTGGATACAGTGAAAGAATCATCAGTTTTCCACCGGAACAGCAGGATCAAATTTGATTGAACTCATTCACCAGTTAACAAAAGTGGCATTTTTTCTGTACAATTTCCGGGTTGAATATTGCATTCTACCAAGATGTCAATGGCAACACCCTGTCACCCACCACCTCTCGCTTTGTTACTCAGCTTCGTCGCATACGTTCTTTTCAAATCACGAACTATGCCCATTGAGTAAGAACACACGATGTAGGCGAACAAATGTTTTTGAGGAATTCCTTTTTAAGGCTTTACAATCACATTTATACAAAACCATTTCAACAGGGTCAAACAGAATGAGTCATGTGTTTGGTAAAACGACTGAGAGAACTCCAAATTGTACGTTGTTTGGATTTCGTAACTGAAATTCCCTGTGTTGCGTCATGGTCGTGTGAACGAGCGATTTTCTCTCCCCTCGGCCAGGGGAGTTTGAGCGCTTGGATCAGTTTTCGTTGTGTGCACCGCAAAGGCTTCATGAATCGGATGATAATCGCCCCTGCGGTCGCCAAAGTCCGAAACCGTATTGCTTTCGAGGGATGTGGTGAGACTAGATGAATGATTGTAAATGCCAAGCGCATGTCACCCGAATATCCCATCTCTGCCAAATGCGCAACGATCGAGCTTGACACAGCTCCATTCCCACCCTATGTGAGCAAGCGTGGATTGTGTTCTTTGAACCGTTGAGATAACTACCTTGTTTCTCGACCAACATAAGTCGCGCCACAGATGCAATTGAATTGATAGACCATCACAGATAAGGCCAGCATATGTAGCTTATCCTTGTTGTGACATCGGGTGTTTGGCGACGTAAAGAACCTACATCTTAACTGAGCGGCAATAAACGTGGATTTCATTGCGGCGGATAAAACTCTTCCGACCCTGTCAGCGGCAGCATCTCTTCTGAATGGAAGTTTTATGTAAAAAAAAACATTTTCTCCCACGCTTTTGACATTTTTGTTGGCTTATATTCACTCCAATTATGGTCGATAAACTTCTCAGGATAGCTATTTTCCGGTAAGATTCTCCTCAGTAGTTCAAGCATATCCTTTAAAACATCTTCTGAACAGATGCGCCTTGCTTTCTGTAGGGACAGCGTTTGATAGAGTGGGATGAAGCTATACAAATTTATGTACTGTTCAATCCATGTTGCTTTTTGATGTATCTTTCTTTGGATAGAGCCATCTGAACGTCTGATCAGATGAATATCCAAAAACGGAAGACAGGCATTCTCTTTTGGTTGAGTTGTGAGCTCAAATGACGAATGTGCTGCTTTGAAATTCTGACTTGACATGGTCGGGATTAATGTTTTTAATAGCCACGCAAAAGATATCATTTACATGACGATTCTATTGTTGAAAACAACTATTAGCCGTAGGTGCGGAAGTTGTCTCTAACTTGGCTCTGAAGATGTCGGCAAGATCTGGTCCGAGGGCTGAACCCATAGCACCACTATCAATTTGGCGGTAGAATGTGTTATTAAACAAAATTGTTCATTTCGAGTGCATTTGAGGACGTGTTCTTTGATAGTTGTGACCAGGATGTACACGACAATCAACTCTGTGTTGATGAATTCACCAATGAAAGCAACTGCTTTTTTTCTAACAGGATAAAAAGAAAGGAAAAACAGCGAAGGAGAACATTAGTCGGTTAATAATGCTAACTTTTTTGGCTAGTTCAACAAAATGGAAAATGTCTCTCAGTGTCTGATTGGCGACACTTTGAGGTATGGGTTCCAAAAGTCCAGCTACGCAGTCATACCAGCGCTTGAGAGATTGAAGACTACGTTCAACGATTCGCAATTTGGTTTATTACGCCGAAAGGTTTCGATGGCGAACTCAAAACTGATCACGTCCTAGCGAAAATCGGAAAGGATGCGTATTCCCTATTTAAAAATTTGGCGTTTTATCGGACGATCCCATATTCTTGCCCTATGAATGCTTGACGAGCTTTTCGTTGAAACATCTACAGTTGGTCAATGTCGAGGTCTCTGAACGAATCAAATATCACTCGCTCACGTGTGACGCGAGCCAA